GGGAAGTGACTGCAGAGTCAAGAACTATACAGAGGAGGACATCTAGTCAACCATCCCATTTCTCAGATGAGGAAACCCAGACTCGAAGGGCTGGGTTACAGTCAACACTGCAAAGCTAGTAAGAGGCAGAGACAAAACTTGAAGACAGGTTTTCAGACTCCAAATCCTACACTTAAAAAAAAGTTTTATATATATATATATATAATTTATTTCAGAAAGGAAGGAAGAGATATAGAAACATCAATGATGAAAGAGAATCATTTATCAGCTGCCTCCTGCACGTCCCCTCCTGGGGAATCAAGCCCGCAACCCAGGCATGAGCCCTGACTGGGAATCAAACCGTGACCTCCTGGTTCATAGGCTGATGCTTAACCACTGAGCATACCAGCAGGGCCAAATCCTGCACTTTTGACCCACAGAACTGCGTTACCTGCCCAGCAGGTTACACCTTCCCCCACAACCCTGAGGCATCTGATAATGTGTGGTTCAGTTACTCCAGTCTTGAAGTGCTGCATGTATTTAGACCCTGTGCAGTCCCAGTTCCACACAACAAAGTGACATCTCATGCACAAACTGCCCCTTCCCCCACACTGGCTAGTAACAAGTTTCCACAACTGCCCCTTCCCCCACACTGGCTAGTAACAAGTTTCCACATAAAGGTGTGAAAAACAAGCATTCAAGAATCCAAACCACTCTACTGGCAAAAAAAAAAAAGGGGGGGTGGGAGTAGGGGTAACTACTGAGAGGAAGTTCCCTGGTTCTGGCCACTTTTTCTTAGAGTTAATTTTGGGCCAATATTGATTTCCATTCTTTGCTGTCAAACTTAATCAGGCTCAATGGGAAATGCCGTGTATATTTGTTTATGAATTTCCATCAACTGGAAGATGGAATGGAAAATTTTTGCTAACGATCCATAATGAGAGGATAAGCACTAACCATACAACAGAAAACAGAATTCCTTTTACTCTTACTTCAGTCTTAGATACAAGTATCTTCCTATCTTTTTTTTTTTTTTTAATTTCGGTACAGTCGCATACAATAAAATTTCACTAAGTGTTTTTCAATGATTTGGAATATATATACTTGCAAATGTATACAATTGTGTAAGCTCTCCCATCCCCCACAATAATTAAGATAGAGAATACTTGCATCACCCCAAAAAGTTCTCTGGGGCTCCTCTGCAGTCAATCCTCTACCCCTAGTCCTAAGCAACCCCTGACCTATAGGTTTGCCTTTCTGTAATACCGTATAAATGGAATTACAGTATTGAGACTTTTGTGACTTTCAGCATGCTGCTCTTGAGATTCATCCATGTTGTGTGTATCAGTTGTACCTTCTTTTTGTTGTTGTTAATCCTTACCCAAGGATATTCCCCCCCATTGATTTTTAGAGTGGAAGGGAGGGGGGGAGAGTCAGACACATTGATATGAGAGAAAGACACCAATTGCTTGCCTCCTGCACATGCCCCAACCAGGGCCAGGGCCAGGGATTGGGCTTGCAACCATGGTACATGCCCTTGACTGGAATCGAATCCAGTACCCTTCCATCCCAGGGCTGACGCTCTATCCACTGAACCAAACTGGCTAGGGCAGTAGTGTTTTCTTTTTATTGCTGAATAATATTGCATTATA